CCCTCTAGTCTTACACTGCTAAATTAGGGACGGCTAGCGCAGATAGCCCTCGTGTAGCTTTGAGCGAAATTCCAAAAACAAACAAAAAAACAAACATACGTATACATGTGAGAATGTAATGTGATTTGTCCGTATTAGGCATGTGTGGTCGATACAGAGTTATCACGCCTACACTCGGAAAATGAATATCGAGAAATTTTCGGTGTTTCGTAGATAGGGTGACGTCACATGCTGCTTTTGGGATGGGTATGTAACAATCCTTTCCGACACAAAATATTCGCACAAGATGTGTTCAGACCAGAGATTTAGAATTTGCAAGACGAGGCTACCACTTGTATTTAGTGGCATTGTCAAACAAAGGAGTATAAATAGACTTGGGGCCAAGGACCATCTGTACGGAAACTTGCAAACGATGGTAAGTAAGCAAAGCGCGTCGTGTTGTAACAGGTTAGATCTTACGAACACAAAGTCAGAAGCTAAAGGCGTGCACATGCTCCAAGCAACACTAATCAATAAGGATCTCCGTCTGGAATCGAACCCAACAGGATGTGGGCTCACCAAAGATAAGGCTTCAAGTCAAACCTTGTTGTTCAACCGCCTCTTTCTCAGTGGTGAAAGTAAGACGGTTTGTTTCTTTGTTGTCAAGCACAAAGCTGCATAATGGGCTATCTGTGCTCTGCCAACCACGGGTATTGAAACCCGGTTTCTAGCGTTGTAAGTCCGCAAACATACCGCTGGGCTACTGAGAGGCAAGTAAGACGGTGCGATCCAGTACGGCGTACCGGTAAATCATTATGTCAAGTTCATTTTAACTTACATAACTGTAAGTTGCAATATTATTTTCTAATTTTTACTTTTGTGAGGCTACTCTTTTCTATATTACCAATATTACGTAAAGACGTTTTTTTTTCTACAAATTTCATTTAAAAAAGTACAGTACAAAGATTTTGCTCTAAGATATCAATTTTTCTAGATTCAAAGATTAATTTGATTTGTTTTCTTTCTTTCTTATTTATTTATTTGAATCGCATTTCCTGTAATATGGTAAAAGAAACGACGACTACAACAAGAGTATGTATTTAGTATAGTACGAGGCAAAGCGAAATAAGTCGAGAGACAATTTCATTGACAGACATATAATTAATGTGTATGATTATGAATACTCTTCCTACAGTTCATGAATGCGTAGGCGAACGTCACATTATAACGCCCCCACGGCTGAAAGGG